GTGATCCATCCAGCCATTCATTTTCATAGATTTTCACTTTGACCCTTTGTGACCATCATTAACACTGCTCAAATAAATTTCAGTCTTCATCATTCTCTACATATCTGTCCTTATTTTCCCTATAAAACAATGTCCCAAGTTGGGGATTGCTAATGATATGGAATAGGTTTTGTTTTTAATTGCTACATTGCTTTCCCATATGGCCACATACTTTATATTTTTACTATCATCATAAGAAAGCATCCCTTTCACCACATCTCTGATAGTGACATATTATCTGGGATAGTCTTTTTCTTTTCTTTTTTTCCTTCCCCTGCCCAGGAAACAAGTCACAGTAGAAGATAACCTAAAATGCTACCTCAATTAGACTGCTACTTATACATTATTGTGCATCATTACAATGCATGGAAATTCTTGAATAATTACAGTTTTCTAGTATAAAGTTATTATGAAAGTGACTTAATCCCATAGAGGTGGAGTAGTTTTTTCAGTAATATTTCAGCAGATACAATATTCAATTATGTTTTTTGTTTTATTTTGCTATATTTTTTTCTAAGATGGCTAAAAGCTTGGGACAGTTTGCCGTATTTGTATCAGATATTGTCCCTGGTTGAATCAGTCACAGTAGGCTAATTTATATTGTGATTACTCTCAATTTCAAAATCTTAATGACTTTTAACATTAAGTGTTCAGTTCTTGCTGTATTTCCATTAAAAATTGGCTGGATTTGGAATAGTTTATTCCATGGCTATTTACCACCTTCTGAAGCATTGCTGGTGGTTGTGGCGGGGGGAAAGAAGGCTGAAAGTTGAAAATTAACCCTGAGAAACTTCTTCCCATCAATGACATATATTGTGTCCAATCACTTGGTAATTAGCAATATTGACTAACACATTTATTAGAATGATTTCTCAGAACACTTATTAGACATTTCTCAACTTGTTATGGTTTGGCACACAGTATTTCAGTTGTCTTCCTGTTCCCCTAGTGGTGACTTGACCAGTTTTGACTTATTTTGTAAGTGTGTTAACTTCATTAGTTTTGAAAAAGTGGGTAATTGGCTTGCTCTGTAGATTGGAGAGTCAAATGGTCAAAGAGCTACCCATTTGTATTTGTTTTAATGCTCAGGTAGCTCATTGAAAGAATTGATAAATGACATCAAAATATTATGACAGTTTAATCGGTAGCATTAAAATAAATGGCATCAGTGTCATATTTTCATTGTGATTGAAAACTAGCTGCAGCTGTTGATGATTGCCATTTGGACACAGTTTAATTTCATCAGAGCACCCGTAATAGTACCCGAGAATATTTGCAGCTCTTGAATTGCTAAGGTAGTGCTTAGAGTTTGTGATTGTTATCTGAAACTATATAATTTATGAGAAAACCTTAGTAATTGAAAGGGGTTAGGAGATTATAAGTGTATATCTTCATGAAGGCAGAAAGTAATTTTTGTCCATAAAAAATAATCTTTTGGACAATCTCTGGTATTGCAGCTTTGAGTAAATATCATTAAAATTCTGGTCCCATATTGCTTGTTCTTTTCAGATGTCAGCTTCATATGGATTCTGAATATCATCCAATCTGTTCTTCAAATATCAATGTAATTACTGGTCAATGATTTTGGATAATTTATACATCTGATGAGATCGTGGAGGTTTTCTTAATTATTTTGACTTAGAGTTTGTCCCCTTAAGAAAGAGGATTTGGAACAATATTACTTTGAGTTAAGTCACTCCTACTCCTAATAATAGGCACGTGTTTTTAAGTAGCCTTGCTGTGGATTGTTGTTACTCATGAGTCCTAATCAGAACTTCAGATCCAAAACAGGGATTCCCTCCAAGAAAGGAATACTTTGTGTGCCTATCTCATATCATTTGTGAAGGGCAAATGGAGGTTGTGTACCAAAGTTATAAAGCTTGAGCTCTAGATGGCTAGAATAAAGTTATTTTTTGTTATGAGAAATTATGGAAATCATTAAAATAAACTTCTAATTTTAAGACACCTGAGATACAGTTCTTAAATTCTTACCTAAGTGTGACCCATATGCTTTCAATAATAAGCTTATTTCCTACTTTCTGTTATCACCTGAAGACTTCTTAAATTAGGGGAAAGCAGTAAATATTATTTGTTAATACCTCTTTCTCCCCCCTCTCCATCTAGCACTATCACTAATAGTCATATTTTTCTACTACTACTCCTAATAAATAATTTATACCCCAATATAATATGAGTACTAATCAATAGTTTGGGTACACATCGTCTGAAGACAAAGAGGTTTGTTTTGATTTCAGGTTTGTAACCTCAGTAAAGTTTAGCATTTTGAGTCAAATTATCCTGCGTGAGGTCAGCTTTGCGTCCAGTAATAGCCACATGTGCTATATGTTCTATATTTATCACCTTGTTTATTTTTCAAAACAGATATTTAAGGTAGGAGTGAGACATTGGGCATTTATTAAAGAAAAGGACCAAGATTTAGAAAACTTAAGAAAATTTTTGAGCCATAGAGCAGCGGGGAGAGGGATAATGAAAGATTATAGGGGAAGGGCCATCAAGGAATATGCATAAAAGACACATGAACAAAGCCAAAGTGGTAGGTTTGAGGGTGGGAGGAAGGGATAGGTGTGGTGGTGGGTGTGGTGGGGTGAAAATGGAGACAACTGTACTGGAACAACAATTAAACATAAAAGAAAAGTGTTTGAGTCACTGATACTTTAAATTTACACTGCCTGATTATGAAGCCCATACTTTTAAATATTCTGATATATATTTCTTTCTTCTCCCCTGCCAAATTATTTTTTTCTATCAGCACTCTCACCTATAATATAAATGTCAGGTAATGGTAGAATGATTAATTAAATACTCTAACTATTAAACATTTGCCAAATCACCAGAATCAAAATAGAATATCAGTGAAATTTTCTGGATATTAACATTGTTTCCTCACTGTGCACACCAAGATTCTAAATCTAGGACTTCATAATTAATCAGACAGTTATTTCAGAAGTTCCTATGTTTGCTGCATTTGATGTATAATGATCCCATAACATGCTGAAACACATGGGCACTAGTCCAGCTTTCACATTCTTAGTAGAATGATCGCTTGAAATACCAATTTGGTGTACAATGAAAAATATTCTGTTTCCCCCAACATGTGGATGAAACATGGTGCTCTGAAGATTATACTATCACATAGGCCAATAGTTTAAAATGTTTATCATTAAAGTTTTTTAAGTGGGTTATAAATAATTTTGTCCTGTTGTCGGACCCATTGTTGTTGCTGTTATTATTTTGGAAGACTCTGTGATGTGTTCAAATTAAAATTTCTTCTTGAGCCCTCATTCACAAGAAAGCTTAATAATAAACATTATTACTGACATGTTTTTTGGGGGAAGAATTGCCAGAAGATATTGTGGCATAGTGAGATGTGTTCACTTATCAATTAAAAGGAATTTTGCTTTCCTTTCCTTTCATCAGTGGATTTGTGTGTCGAGGTAGATAGAATCAGAGAGATTCTGTCAAGATTATTCTATTGATCACGAAATGCATTTTCATTTAAGTAAAGACCCAAAATTGAAGCTTTTCAATCAGTCAGTGGACTATCACTAAAATGGTATCTAGTATATTTATCAGTCTCTTAAGCATGCAAAATGTTGTCTTGGACCCAAACCAATTTTGAGGTAGCACAAAGAGATTATTAACTGGATGAAAAATTGTTGTTGAAAATAAGATTTAAATATAGTTTTGTTTAAATCTATATTTATAGAGTTGTTTAAATATATACTTAAAAGTTTCAATACTGAGAAATGTGATTTCTAAATGATAATTTGATACTGATATAATAGAGAAAAAACAGCAATTAATAATTAAAAGCAATACTGTAAATAATCCTACTATGAACATTGGGGTGCATAGGTTCTTCTGACTTGGTGTTTCAGGATTCTTTTGACTTGGTATAATCCCAGCAGTGGAATAACTGGATCAAAGAACAATTCTATTTTTAGTTTTTTTGAAGAAATTTCATACAATTTTCAGACTGGTGCCACCAGTCCGCATTCCCACCAACAGTGCACTAGGGTTCCCCTGCCTTCACATCCTTGCCAGCACTTGTTTTTTGTTAATGATGGTCATTCTGAGTGGTGTGAAGTGGTATCGCATTGTGGTTTTAATTTGTAACTCTCTGATGGCTACTGATGTTGAACATCTTTTCATATCTCTCTGGGCCCTCTGTATGTCCTCCTTGGATAAGTATCTGCTCAGGTCCTTTGCCCATTTTTCAATTGGATTGTTTGTCTTCCTGGAGTAGAGTGGTGTGAGTTCTTTATATACTTTGGAGATCAAACCCTTGTTGGAGGTACCATGTGCACCATTATTTATTATAGCAAAGTGCTGGAAACAGGCTAAGTGCCTTTCAGTAAATGAATTGATAAAAAAAAACTGTGGTAAATTTACACAACAGAATACTACACGGCAGAAAGAAGGAACTCCTATCCTTCACAATGGCATGGATGAAACTGGGGAGTATTATGCTAAGTGAAATAAGACAGGTGGTGAAAGACAAATACCATGCAATCTCACCTATAAAGGTAACCTATTCAACAAAACCAATGAACAAAATAGAACCAGAGACATGGAAATAAGGAACAAACTGGCTGTAACCAGAGGAGAGGAGAGAGGGTTGTAACAGGAGAAAGTAGGGGATGGGTCAAGTCAAGGAACATATAAAGGACCCATGGCCAAAAACAACAGGGTGAGAATTGAGTGAGGAAGCAACAGGGCATAGGTGGGGCAAGGGAGAGCAATGGGGGGAAGTGTGGGACAACTGTAATGAAGAACAATAAAAAAGCAATACAAATGTATGCATTAAATAAAGAGAAATTGATGGCTGGCAAATAAAACTCTTAGCTCTTCAACTATTGTTCTATAATAAGAAAGTTTTTGAAAAGGTTTCCTAATATGTTGGGTCTTGGTTTGTGTGTTTTACATGTTTCCTGATTCAGATTTATATTTTTGAAAACAATATCTACTATCAACCTGATATAAAGAGCAGTTCATTGCGACTGACATCTTCTGGGAAAGAAGGAATTATTTTTAATGGGATTGCTGACTGGTTATATGAAGGTGAGTTGAATAGATTTAGTTTCAAAATAACACAAATGTCATATTTGAATACAATATCGCTAAGAAAAATCTGTTTATTCAAAAATAATACATATAGCACTATTTCTCCTCATTTCCTGTCAAAAATTTCTTCATGCTTTCATATCTTTGCATATACTCATATTTAGACTGGTAGTGATTTATACCTACTTATACAATTTCACATTTGACATTTTATATATATATATGTGTGTATGTATGTATATATATGTATATATATGTATATATGTATATATATGTATATATATATATATATATGAAAGTGAATGATTACCTGTATCCCTCAGAATTAGATGTTGAATTTTTCTGACTTCTAGAAAAGAAGAAACAAAAACTTCTACTGCTCAATAAAGCCACTTGATTTTAATCATTTCTGTTAAGAATATTATGTCACATTTTGAAAGTTATTGCATAAGGAGGCAAATAAAACCTACCTAAAGAGCTCCTTGCAATAACTATTGAATTAAAATTTAATAATAATGGAGAATATAAAAAGGAATTAGATGAGGAAAACTTCTGTCCAATTTGATATGTACCACTAGTCAACTGAGTTATAGGTACTGATTTCCTGGGGAAACTCAAAGCTTGAATTTAATACCTAGGTTTCAGGCTCTGAAACTGATTTTGGCAAAATGTTTTGGCAAAATTGAAATACTAAAATGAATAGGTAGGTATGACACTTTCTTTGTATGAAAGTGTCAGAAGCTAATTCTGGCTTTCTTATTTCAAAAAGATAATTCATTTAAAAGGCCTGAGGTCACCCAGTAAATTGAAGAAACAAGTGGAGAACAAATATAAAACTTGGATATTTCTGGTAAACTAGGTAGCCAGAGCAAATCATATCTTACCTATAGGAGCTTGGTAAGGTATGCCCTTTATCTTTAAAATTGTTGAACTGTGTAAGACCCTGTCAGATGAAAAAAAAAAAAAAACATCAATCCAGTGTTTTAAGTAGTCAAATCACAGTAAGCACAAAATTCTATGAAAGACCAAAGGAGAGAAATTTAACTCATTCTTAGACATTGGCAACTATTTCCTAAAAGAGAAACCCTTTATGTTGAGTCTGAAATATTAAGTGAGACACATAAGAAGAAACTAGGAAGAAAATTTTAAGCAAGAATTAGAAGCTTGCAAAAACACAGTAGGGTTAAATAGCATAGTGAGTGCCTAGGGAACTGAAATCTGCTTGTTATTATTGAGGCATAACACTTGAGGAAAAAGAAGGCATCAAGAAACAAGGTATAGTGACCCTAAAAATAATCTAGGATTTCAATCATTTTTTCCAGTAAATGGGAGAACTAAGAGAGCTTTTCAAGTAAGGGAGTGTCAGTATTTGTTCTTTCATATAAATAGATCATTTGGCTACAGTGTGAACCTGGTATTGGATAGCAGAAAGAACTAGTGTGTATCCATAAAGTGTTGTTTCTTCTTTTTTATTGTTTATTCTATTACAGTTGTCCCAACATCTTCCCTTTTGCCCCCTCCACCCAGTCCACCCCTCTAGCCCGCAATCAATCCTCTCTTCATTGTCCATGACCATAGGTCATTCAAATTTGTTCTTTGACTAGTTCCTTCCCCTTCCTGCTGCCATTACCCCCTCCCTCCTACCTTCATACAACTATCAGTCTGTTCCATGTTTCCATGACTCTGCTTCTATTTTTATTAGTTCATTTTTTCAATATTCCAGTTGTAAGTGAGGTCATATGGTATTTGTTTTAGCCCAACTGGCTTATTTCACTTAGCATTGTACTTTCCAGTTCCATCCATGCTGCCACAAAAGTTTTTATGTTATATGAAGAGATAATGAGCTATAGGACTATGGTTAAAGTGGAAAGAAGGGAAGGTTCTAAAACTGATGAGCCAGTAAAATAGATAGATTTTTGTGGTTAAATAGTTTGGGAAGATGGAAGACAAGAATAATTACTTGGCTTCTGGTCTGGGTCACTAGTAAACAGTGGTGACAAAAACAGTGAGCACGCATTCTCTAGGAGTAGTGGACTTCAGAGAGGAGAGGAGTCAGTTAGCAAGAACACTGGTGCTCTTTAGTGTGCTGCCATGTTACATTGTCTGACAAATAGTGAGCCCTAACATCAAAGAACTTTCAGTCAAATGGGGGTATACTAATGTAAATTTTCTGACTTGACCAATGATCAAGATGGATTGGGCCTCTGTCCTTTAGGAAAGGCTTCACGTAGCATATGGAATTACATTTTTAAGAAATTTATAAAAAGAGGGCCTTGGTAAGTTTTAGAAAAAGGAATTTGATTTCTCTCCCTCTCTCCTTCCCTTCCCAAGATATTAATTAAAGAAATTTATAAAAAGAGAAACCATGTTCTGATGAATTATGTTTTTTTCTTAATTAGAAAATAAAAATGTATATCTCTGGGCTGAGTGAACATTGCATTGGGGGATAGCCAGGACAAACAGGTAACAGAAACTTTTGTGATGAAATATGTAGGTCTAGCACATTCAGAGGGGAAGTGGAAAAATTATAGTTTTTGCCATTCAAATTAAATTCAATCCTTTGGGTTTTTATGTTTTAGGTATACTAGGAAAGTAGATGTACTATGTGATTTAACCTCACCTTGCTAATACATCTAATCGCTTACTGAAGAAACCCAGATCATGGGGGATACACAACTTGGACAGAGCCCCAGAACTCATGAGAAGCAGAGCTGGCCCTTGAATGTGTGTCGTCAAAGCCAGGGCTTAGTCCTAGTCAGCTATACCTGTCACAGAGCAGTGCCCTTCATTGTTCCCTAAAGGATGACATACATTATGCACCTAAGATGTTGGATTTCACTGATGTCTTTCCTTATCCCAAACCTACTATCTATGGAATTAAGTCAGTTTTGCTTTAGTTCTAAGAGAAGGCACCCTACCATGGAAATCAGTGTTAAGGTATGGTAAAAGGATTTAGGAAGATATTTTAGGACCTCAAATTCCTATGTCATTGTCTTCATGTCAACATTTTGCCTACCATCCCAACATGTGCTTCAAGACTCTCAATAATCTCCCACTATCATTTGCTTGTCCTGTGTGCCAAGAGCATCCAGAATTCAGTGCTTCTCTTTTTCCTTAAAGTACTCACCAAAACACAGTGATTTCTACTAGGAATTCATCTGATTTTCAAGAGTATGTGTGTGATAATCTAGTGTGGAGATTTCCTATTTATTACTCTATAGAAATCAATTATAATCTGAATCAGTATGTGTAGGAGACTCGAGAAATAATATATAAGATTTCAACTTACTTTTTTAATTGAAATTTGCCTTCTGTAAATGTCATAGAAAAGGAAAAATTAGATAAGGAATCACATAAAAAGATAATAAAATGTTTTTGTGGCAAATTTTAAGGGCATAACTTAATCTCTGAGGACCTAGCCAATCTATAATTGTGGTTATTGTTGCCAACCGCAGTCACTAATGTCAAGGCTTTAAAAGTCTTTAAAAGTGTTATTTAAAAATCTTACAGCCCTTTCTCTTTTATTTTTAGTATTATTTCATTATTTAGGAAAGTAAAACAAATAAAATATAGTGTTTTAAGAGTTAGTGAGGTTCAGAAAAACAAAGCATCATTCTCAAAATGAAACATTATTTTAAATGTAATTCACACAAAGTACATTTAATGCTAATTAGATAAATTAGTGTATTTAGCATGGTAACTTAACTGAATAAAGTATCTGATTAGTGTTTTCTTAAAAAGTGTAAAATTCACATTTTTTGTTTACAACTTTAAATTTTTCCATAGTATTGAATTTATTAAATAGAAACAAAAAATGACTTTCACTTTCAACTGTTTAAGCATATAAAATTATAGAACAAACATGTTTAAATGGCTTATATTTAAGCATATTAAAACATTTTTCATGTTTTTAAGGAATTCTTTAAAACTGAGTTCAACAGTTATTGAGCCCATATATCTGTCAAGCCTTATCTGAGAGCAATAAAATGAGGAATAAGGGTTTCTATGTTTTGAGTACTTCCAACATACTGGAGTGAAAATCTGTGTACTATTATGTTGGAGCATAGTAAATAGAAGTATAAACAGAACTACATGTCAGCATAATAAATAAAAGTATGAACAGAATTGAGTCCGATGACATAGGGAAATATAGGTGGCATCATAGAGGAAATAATTATTGTGCTGAGCTTTAGAATGACAGGAACAAACACCTGAGAGAAAGAAATTATAGGAAAAATATCTTTATAGACAAAATGTGATTATTACTTTTTATTGTTTAATGAGAAAATGGAAAGTGCCCATTTTCACCATTTACTTTGCCTTCTTTTGGACACAGGAAGTCATATTTATTTATTCACTGATTCAGCAAAGATTTGTTGAGTACTTACTAAATTCCAATAAAACTGGATTGTGACAGATAAACAAAAAAATGTAAAGATTCACCTGTGAAAGCCAGAGGAAGATAGGATAATGGGCATTGCTGAGTCTCTGGAGGGCAAACAAACTAAGGACACCAAAGTTAGTGTTGAATTTGCTATTAGAACTTGACAGCAGCAAAATCAGTAAATTGTTTACCAGAAGGAAGACCACAGAGGGCGGAGGTATAAATAGGAATTGAGAAAGTTATGAATATAAAAAATTCTTTCAAGAAAATTGACAGTGAGATACTCAAAATCAGAGAAAAAATAATCAACCACAGATCCACAGAGCTTGCATTAAGATCCTCAGGAAATCCTGTCTAAGTTAATAAAGAACAAATGGATAAAGTCAGTTTCCTTTTCAGAACACAGTGATTATGTATTAGTTTTTGTAAATGCTTTGCATTGAGCTGTTTTTAAGTGTCTGTGATATAAAACAACATGTGTTGAAAATTCTATCTTCTTTGCAGTGAGATTTTGGAAATCTGTGTAATAAAGACAATGAAGGACCCAACCTACATTAAAATAGAATTCCTAAAAATACTTTGTTTATAAATAATATAATATAATCAACACAGGAATCTTCAATCCATGAGTAAAACTTGTGACTTATACAACAGGACTCTTAAGAAAATGCATTTTAAATGTTCTTTTATTCATATTGTTTCCATTTTAGTTAGCTTTGTTTTTGTATCTGAAGTAAGTCAAATAACTGTTTATTTGTACTATTTTAACATTGTTATGAGGAACAACTTTAGCCATAGATTATTCCAAATAAATGAGAGTGGATAATACAAAGTTTTGAATGAATGATGCTCTAGAGTCTGAGCCATTCTAAGTCCTGAGAAGTATTTGTGCACACAACTATAGCATCCGGGATGGACCCTCTTTGCTTCTTAAAAATCCTAAGTGTTGATTCAGATAACACAATTTTTATTTTTATATACCTTCAAGTCCCATAAAACTTGGAATTTACAGTCAATTACCACTTAACTTTTTTTTCATGTGGATGACTCATGTCTCCTCATCTGAATCATAAGTTATTTATATAAATTAGGGTAAAGACCACAACTGGAAAAAAAAGATGGCACATTCAAAGTAGTATTCAGTTTTATCTATGAAGAAGGACACTTAATAAATAGGAGGGATGTGCAGTACCCTGTGGCTAACAATGGCTTAGCCATTAACACCTGAGGTGGAAGGGGGAGCAGTTATTACCAGAACCTAGAAGGAGAGAATTCTATAGTTTTCATAGTAGTAAGAGCTGTGAGTGTTGGTTGAGAGACCCAGCCAGACCCACATGATTTTAATGGGTAAAAACCAAATGATAAATTACATGCACTAACTTTCTTCTCTTATTTGATTTGTTGAGTTTCATGTTAGCTATACCCAACAAAAAGGCAGTTATAACTTTTTAATATATCAGCAAGTTAATAAACTTTTTTATTAAATAAAAAGTTTATGTCCCCCAGCCCTGGCTGGTGTAGCTTAGTGTATTGAGCCCAGGCCTGTGAACCAAAGTATCTTGGTTCGATTCCCAGTCAGGGCACATACCTGGATTACAGGCCAGTTTCCGGCAGGTGATGCACAAGAAGCAATCATACATTGATATTTCTCTCCCTCTCTCCTTCCCTTACCCTCTAAAGATAAATAAATAAAATCTTTTAAAAAAAGTTTATGTCCCCAAAAGAGAAGCACACAAGGTCTCTTCTGCTGCTGTTTCACTGTAGAGTGGTATTAGTCCAGTTATATACACCTGCTTGAAATTTGTAACCACAGCCAATGCTCTCACCTTTTATAGCAGGTTTTGGGGAAAACTTTCCAATTAAGAAAAGAAATAAGCATTATCATGTGACCTTAATTGGTCATCAAGCATTTATTTATTTTTTTCCTTTACCATCTGCCAGCATTTTGACTACACAGGTTATTTACCTGATGGAACAAACCAAAACTTTATTTCTACCAAACCATATCCCTTTATTTTTTTCTTAATGGGGATGCTACAATATCAGTTTTCCATTGAAATGGAAATCGGGATATAGAAATGTGAAGTTGCAAAGTGAGATGGAATTGAACACAGAAACATTTGTGGATTAGCTGAGTTCCAAATACAGTCTTCCTTGCCCTCCATGTAGAAGAAAGAATCATTTTCTTCCTGGCAGATGAGATTAATTATCAAGCCCAGCTCAGTGACTATGTTTTCTGTCAGTTTATTTTTTTCTCAGTCATGTTGAGCCCAAAATGGCCAGGAGGAAATTTCAGCTTTTAGTTCAGAGAAACAAAATTACGGCTATATTCTCTGTAGGAGATAATCCTCCTGTAGGCATTAGAACTTCTAAACCACCAAGCTCATTATAATGAGTACAAAAACTAAAATGTATGTATGCAGTGGGTCATTGATGTGATAGTGAAAGAGAATATTATACTTCCATCACTCAGTTCCTGACTATGCAGGAGGGACACTGGCAAGCCATAAGATGACTGCCCAACTATAAGGTCATTGTGAAAAAAAGTGCCAAATCCAGAAAGATCACACCTTGTCACTTTTCTAACAGCCAAGTACATCTGGCCAATGGGGAAACTGATGAGAATAGAAAATACTGAGAGTCTGAACCCACTGAACTTATTTTTGCTATAACATATTTATTGTTTGGAAGTGACATAGTACAGTTTATCAGAGTAACGGGTAAGTTATTCTGTAAGTCCATGAATGCCAGTGCTGATAAAGCTGCAGGTGGCAAAGGCAAAGGCATAAAACCTAGAATATGTGTCTTCATCAGTAATAACTAAATGCTACCTTTCCTGATAGAAGGGTCCCCGTGTAAGACAGCTGCCACCATATAGTCAGCTGGAACTGCTGGGAAATGATGCCATATCAACAGTTTAGTGATAACTACTATTATTAGCAGGTAGTGGTGGCAGCCAGAGACAAACTGACGTGCACTTGCTAGTCACCTTGTTCATTGGATTATTGAGTGCACCTTCTGCTGTGGATGTGCTCTGGTGGACATTAAACAGGACACTTGTGTCTTCACATTTTTACCTCTTCTGATAAGTCTGTGCATTTATCTTTCCCTAAACTTCCTTCTTACAAATTTTCTAATGTTACTCTTCTCAGATCTCTAATCAGGTGGCCATTTATTAGATATTGTTCATAAGTCAGGGATCCATGCTTCAAGCCAAGTCTCCTTCCACACATAGTCTACACACAGTTCAAAGGACTGCCACCTCAGATTTATGTTTTTATAGTGGGCTTGTAATCCATTACTGAATCAGACTGCAGTGCACAGCCTACCCAATTCCTGAGTGTTTCAAGTATGTTATTCAAACCTACCCATACACCTGACCTGCATTGTTTTCCTCCTCTGCCAGCTTGTGTTAGAAACACATCTTGAGTCATAGATGTGAGATAAGAAGGGAGGATAAAGCTGTGCATGTAATGCCTTGGGCATTGACTAATGTGTTCTGGACCAATCCCGAATGGACCACTTCTATTTTATAGTGGAATGTTCCTGCTTTTGTTTAGTTTTATGGTATGAATCCGATAACAATCAGGTCATGATGGGCAGTTTGGGTCGCATAGTCACTTGCTATCCCATGGTCAGGCTAATTGCTTCTGCTAGCGCCCAATAAAGAGCTGCTTTAGAAATAGACTATTTATTGGCATAGGAGAAATTGACTTTTCTGTGAATCTTTTAATGCCTGTGCTTTGATTATGATAAGGTGAGTGTCAAAAGCTCCGCAGCATCTCTGTTTGCCTTTGGGTACTTGCATTGCCATGGTGTTGGCTAAGTCACAAGGTAAAGATGGTAGGGAAGGTTGTGCCATAACCTTTACCAGATGTATAGCTCTCTCTTGCTCAAGTTCTACCAGAACTGGCCATTTTACAGTTTACCTGGGAAGTAGAAAGGCACCACACGTGAATGTGGTTTATGTTTTCTTCAAAGTCCAGAATTCAGTGCATCTTTACTTTTGCATAAGTATAGTTCCAACCAACTTTCTCTCACTTTAGAAGAGATAGCCCAGTATAACCCAGTCTACTAGATCTCCACTCTTCCCTAAGGATTCAGACTTTAAACTTCACAGGGATTCTTTTTCCACTCTACCTTAATGCCTTTATACACACAGGTTGCCTCTGTTAACAAGGAAACTTGTGGAAATTTTGAGGTTCAAAATCTTCAGCCATAAAATTAGACACATGTAGCAGTATTCCACTATGAAATGTGGTATTTATGAGAATGACTCAGAAAGCATAATGTACATGTTTACACAAGCATCCTTTTCTTATGTGTTGGGGTCTTAACACTTCTTCATCAATATCTCTGTATTAACTTTAAAAATCAAGTACGATTGAGCCCCTGATTTGTGTTGCATTCTGAAATCCTTACTATGATTTATTGGACCTCAGCCATACCTACCCTACAAGTACAGAAGAAAGGGACTCCTTCAAAGATTTCCTAATGACTTTTTGAGCATTCGTAATTATGTAATGGTATTAATTCTTTATTCTTCCTATGTACTCTCTCTGAGATGTCACAAGAACCATGTAAACTTTACAGTCTTTACCGCTGTCATTATTGTAGCAACTAAATGTAACAACCATTTGTCCCCAACAATGCCTCATCTCTCTATTTGCATTTCATTGTATATCATTACCAGTGACAATTGATTCCTCATGGTTCCACCCCTTGCTATGAATTTTTTATGTTCTCATTCTTCCCCAAGAAAGGTTATTATTAAGTGAAAGATATAGATATAGTTATAGAGATGAATATATCTCCAACTTGAACTTAAAATATAATTTTGAAATTCTATTTGCTGAGTTTTTTTGTATTAATCATTGTATTAGTCAGGGTCCCAAAAGGAAATAAGTGACACTTTCAATAATTTGAAAAGTATTTACAAAGAGACCAAAGTTGAAATTGTAGGGGAAATATAAAGGACAGAGTTACAACCTAGACTAGTAGAAGGCTTTGGCCATTAGCAGATACAAAAGGAGAACATTATGGAGAGGTGGTTGCATTGTCAAGAGTAGTGACATCATTTAAAGCACACAGCAAGACTAAATGTAAATATGAATTAATCGTAACATGAATATGGTTTTGTGCCATGTTTCAGTCTTTAATTACTGTCATTGTTCTTTTCACTCAGATAGTACTTTCATGGTCTCTGTTCACATTGCTGACAAGACATGATATCTTGCCTTCCTTCCTCCCTTCCTTTGCATATGCTTTTCCTGGTGTTAGAGGAGTAACTCAGAAATAGACAGTTCTTCATGAAATTGATAAAAATCCACACACTGTATAAATATATTCATATTTAAAATGGATATTTCAAGGACAGATGTGTGTGGGTCACTGAGCCCACATCTCTACAGTGGGTTTCAAATAACACTCATTTATTCTAGAAGAACTTCTGCATTCTCACATCGCCCACTGGTGGTCACCAGATGGAGAAAGGCTTGCCTTCCTGATGATAAATGATTCATTGGTGCCTAACATGGTTATTCCTCGGTTTACTGGAGCATTGTATCCCAAAGGAAAGCAGTATCCATATCCTAAGGTAAGTAACACAGTAGTGCTAGGTTGTTGCCCTTCTCTCTGCACCAGTGACTTGACTAATCTTACTTTTGGCTCACAAACATATTGTCTTTGAAGAATACAAGAAGCTCCCCTTGTTCACTGAGTCATCATTTTAGAGCTCACAGTAGTCTGTACAGAGTGCTTGCATAGGAGGAGATAAATAAAATTCAGGGTGTAGGAACTTTTGCTTTACTGCATTTCTTTTCCCTTGATGCTCTCATTCTTGTTTTCCCTCACCTCCCTCCATGAAAGATTGGTGAGAAGAGAGAGGGTGCAGCATTAATACCAGATCAAGGGCTTATTCTCCAAGGTATATTCTGTGAGTGGACAATAGGTGTGATAGAGAGAAAAAAGTACCATGGTTAAATACATTGGAAACGCTTAGTTGAAAAAAAACTAGCTTCCTTCAGATGATTTCTTAGAGCACTTAATGTACTATATCTTAATGTGTATTATAAATCACCTGTAAAAAGTAGACTAAGCATAAAGAATCTCCAGAAGCATAAAGAGTCACCCATAAAGAATAGACTAAGCATAAAGGATTTATTAGTATTAACTTCAGTACTGTTTTGGCAGAGCAGACTCTGGAACATACTTTATAAAATGCTGGGGTAGAGTCATGGCTAGGCATAGCTACAATAGATGGAATTGTTCTACTAAGTGAAGCAAATATGGAAATTCTGCCAAGAGAGCATAACTATTTTCAAGTGTTGGATGAGGCTTCTGGAATAGGTTGCAAAAACACCTAGACAGTATTGATTTTTCTAATATATACTATGCTTAATTACTTAAGATCTCTTTATGAAAGTTTATTTTACCCATGTTTGTTTAAGAAAGAAAAACCTCATGAGGGACGTCCCCTATGCATTAATCATATAAATATATCTTACAGCAAAAATTTTTAATTCCGCTTTACACATGTTACCTCTTGATTAGGCAAGATATGGCCCCTGATTTCATTTAGAAGTTATTTTAAAGCCATTTCTTTAGTGAGTTATATTTTGTATTTCCCAGCATGATAGATTTTATACTTTTCAATTTGTGCATTACATTAGCTGGGCAAAGTACTGGACAAATTATCTATCACACCTACTTTACACCTACAATAAAGGTGTGGTCAGGATGGGGGTGACCCATATTTTTCTGTCATTGGCCAGACTCCAGTTTCCCATGGTCAGAAAAAAAAATATGGTCTAAATATGAAGAGTGAGGAATAAGAAGAGTGTTTCCTCAGTGAGATTCTGTGCTGAAATTTTCTCTCCATCCTGTCTTCCTTCCATAGGGTGTAGCATTATATAACCAAATGACACCTAAGGAGGGCAGCAAGAGCAAGAGGAACCAGATCCCAGAATTTTGAAATATTATTTTAGGTCTTCTCTGGACAGGGATTGGAAATCACATATACTCAGTGCTCTTCAGCAGAAAACAGTGATTGTACCTAACAACAAAATGAACATATTTGTTAACGGATTTTTATCATACTCCAAGAGGAGTACTTGGGAATTTTCCAATTATAGATTTAACCACATTTCATGACTCAGTTTGTGCCCATACAACATGCTTGCACTTGCTTTTTTCCATAGAAAAATTGAAAAGACTTCTCAATACATTAACTCTCACACTATTTGATTTGTTTATCATACCGAAAGTTCATCTGATAATTTAGACATAAAGTGGATAACTAGTGACATATTGTGAAAAGTTTATGTTAGCACGTAAGGTTCTCAGGCAGAATGGTCCATTGTGTGCCCGGCCAAAGAGAGTCAAGTTGACTCCCAAGAAGGGACAGAATTTTGTCATTCATTTTCCCCTCAAAGTGGGCTATTTTAAGATTCACACATAAGAGCTGTATGCAATAGCTGCATTTTCAAATTTCCTTCTCAGTTATGGACCTTTGATGCTTGAACTTGGACATTCCTAGGGCTCATAATTTTAACAAGACTGATGCAAACAAATGAACAAAGAGAAGCATCTGAGGAAATTTAAATATATCAGCAGTATTTTGGGAGTTATTAATATAACAGATCTAGACAATTTATTATCAATAATTAGTTATTTAATATTTATTAATAGAAAGCTTAAGCATAAAGTAATACTAATGTGTATTAATTGTATAAATCATGTGTGCTAATAATATGCTTTATGCTTTCAGAGAGATTTTTCATGTTTTTTCCTCTTTTAATCTTTTTCACAACTGACTCTATTTTATCAATAAACAAACTGAGCTTCTAAAAGGCTAAGTCCTTTGATGAAAGTCACAGTTACTTTAAGAACAGTGAAATAACTCAAGTGTATTGATTCTGTCCCACTCTATAAAACTACTAAAGGTCAACATATCACAGATGACATACCTGGAATCAAAATATCCCCTTGTCAAGTTAACAAATATGTGCAGAGCTCTTGCTCCATTTACTATTTTTGACATAGCTGTGTGCAGGGTGGGTCAAAAGTAGGTTTACTCTTGTGGGTATGCAAAACAGAGTTTGTTCTTGTATTAATATTTATTATTGTATTATTTTTCATATGAACAACTAACTATAAACCTACCTTTTCCCCATCCAATGTGAGTAGTATTCTTAGCCTCATATCTGCCATATGTACATATTTATATGTCTAGATGTAATGTGGTATTTATAATATGTGAATATAATTAATACATGGTGAAGGTCCTGAGTGTGTTTTAATGACAACAACTTAAGGTTATTAAAATCAAAAGATATTGTAATGGCCAAAGCTGAGAGGAAGAATCCAAAGTCCTCAAGAGATTGTCAGTAGGAATACCCGCCTAGGTAATTAAGACAATAGTGCTCAAAGAAACTAGGTCTGAGATTTTTTTCCTTGTTCTCATACTAAATTTCAGTATTATGTGGGGCATATTACTTGAATTTTCTAAGCTTCATTTTCTACTCTGGTTTTTTAAAAAAGTGTTTTTTTCACTAACAGATATATTATTTTAATTTGCTCTTACTTATGCAATAAACTTTCAAAAGTGGTACTTTAGACATTGAAGTAATGCACAGAGTTCACACTAAATTGTGCTTCAAATTAAACCACATTAAAATGAGTGCAGAAAATACCCAATGTAGTCAGCTTTACTAATGAAATACTTACACTAAACACATGTATTTTTATTTTACTTAATTCAGCATGATTCAGAACTCATAAAATACTCTTCATTAGCAATTCAGCACAAAAGAGATGTGCAGTTTTATCTCAATAACCTCAGGTTAATGTTCGTAATTAAAACATTATCTTGTTTAATGACAACTTAGTTGCCAGTAAAATAAGGTTAATTATTATTGAGGCTTGTGTTTCAGAATCATAGAGGGAAAGATTCTGGGAATTTGCAGTCTTTGTCACAAATATGACTATAAAAAGCACATAGATAAACTCCTATAATTTCTAATCTATTGAAACAATGCAAATATTAAAAGGTACAGATGAATTTGCAATAGAAAATTAATTTTTAAACTCTATGGATAGATACAAATCTAATTAAGATTATAAAATAAATGTTAAAACAGCTGAATTTTGGAAACAGCCTGATGTTTGCCTTTTGTCTAAAATTGGCCACATAGATATACAGCTTTTGACTTGTTTTCATATAGAAGCTAATTGGGATATCATTGATTCTATGTAAGTAAAAGCTTACAGTACTATGGACATGAAAAAACTGCCTTAACGTGGTAATAACTACATATGTCTGACAAAGTATGTCATAAAATTATATAGCATTGATAAGAACTTACAAAAAGATTGAATTGAATTTAATTTGTTTTTTATTTAATCAGTTTATTGAAAGAAATATATAAACATAGTTTTTCACTAACTGGAAAAGTCAGTATCTTAATAATGACTATCTTTTTAAATTAAATAACACATATTATTTAGGTATTTTTATAAATTATTTTTGTTAGTTCATATAACAAAGCAATGAGATATTTTTATCTACAGAAAAGAAATCTACTTTGGCTCAAAACTTCTGATTTCTGACTCTATTCTTGGAGTTTTGTCTCATTTTTGATACTCAAATAAAATAATTCTTGAGGACCATTAACATCTTGCCCATGGTCCATCTCCAGTAAATAACAGTCAAAACTTGAAGCCAAAGTCCTCTGACTCCAGATAGAGCTGGACCATTTCTCAAAATGTGTTGTTTTTTTTTTTTTTTTTTTTTTTTTTTTTACCAGTGGCATCAGCCTCACTGGGGGGATTTTTTTAGAAATGCAAATTTCTTCTGCCCCTTGGAGGAAGGCCTCAAGAGTCTGTGGTCAAACAAGCCCTTGAGGCTCACTGGTGATTCTGAAACGTATTAACCTTGGATAACCACTGCACTGTTATATGTGGGTTTTAATGAGATTCCCACAAAAGTATAATCAATATGCACATTTTGATAAAATACTAATATTTATATATTGATATTTATGTATCAGTTTTTATTAAAATTCGAATATTGGCTATAGTTTTCTGACTCTTGTTAAAACAGATTTGTTAGGCTCACACCCTGAGATTCTGATTCCGGATCTGAATATAGGTCTGGGTGGGGCACACAAATTGAGTTTCTCAGGTTCCAAAGGATACTGACTGATGCTCTTGGTTAGAGAACAACATATTGAATGGAGCTACTGAATACTATGTCCTAGCTCTAAATTCCAACATACCTGATCAAGCTAGAGAAATGGATAGATTAAAATATATATGGATAAGTCCAACATTTTCAGGAAGGAAAATTTCAATTTAAAAAATCAAAAGTGATGTGAAAGACAGCTGCTAAGTGTGGTAGAACACTAAATTGCCCAAGACAGATATTTTCAGGCACTAGAGGGTTTTAGAGCAATGATTCAGCTTTATAAAATCTGACACAGGAGCTTTCTTTGTGAGGCAGGCTCACAGTTTACCTTCCAGGAAGCCCTTTACTATAGGGACCATTTCCATAATCTCTCCTAAATCACTAGTCACTGCATTTCTGCAGTGACAGCCTTTTTTGATTCCTTTCTTTGACTCAAAACTTCAGACCTGTGTTTGAAATACTCCCACAGATGCACTAATTATTTTTCTTTATAGGCTTTTTTAAAAAAGAAAGCAGTTTAAGGTTCACAATGAAATTGAGGAAATGGCAGATATTTGCCATAAAGCTCCAGCTCCCCACATTTATAGCCACTCCCATTAACAACATCCCCCACCAGAACTGTGCATTTAGTTCAAATGATGAAGCACTGCTGACACATGAGAGTGACCAAATATCCACAATTACATGATGGTTCATTTTTGGTGTTGTGCATTCAATGGGTTCTGGACAAATATAGAATGTCATGTATCCTTCTTCATGGTGGTGTAGACTGTTTTCACTGTCCTACAAATTCTCTTACTCCAATTATTTACCATTCTTCCCTTCCCTTCTTGATAGTTATTATTAATAACCTAACAAAGTGGTTCTTGAGTTATTACTGATGATTGAAGAAATGAAATATATTGCCTCTTGTCCTGATTTAACTCCGGGTATTGTTGATGCCAATTCCTTGAACATGGATTTTTCTTTGTCATCATTAAATCAGTTTTATTGTTCTTTTTAGATTTTTGTCAGGTCTTTGAATTCAACTCACTTTTAATTTAATTTCCTTGTTCTCCTCTGTATAGCTCATGTGATCTGCCACACCACAATGGTACAACATATTAAACCACAGGTAGTCAACTGATTCTGTTAAACATTTACTCTCATAAACATGATTGCATTCATTCATTCAACATGCTTAAGATATTCAGTGAAAGTTCCCATTTCTTCCCCCTAAGAGTTGTGAGTATGTTTAGAAAAACTTTGATGGCCATTGCCTAAAACTGAACTTAAGCAAAACTACAGTAGTTAAGAGCATTCTGGGTTTAAACACTGCTTCTCTCAGTCACTGTATTTTGCCTTTCACAGTTTGCTTAGCTTCTTCATTTTCATCTGGTTCCAATTATATCTTACTTTCAAGTGGTTCCAGTTATATCTTATTTAGTACTGCAGTAGGAACATTTAATGAGAAAATTTACGTAATGTTTAACAGATATTATTAACCAGAAATATAGTAACTGCTAAACAACTAGTTGTCATTCAATAATTTCTTTTTTTAACTATTAAACTCAAATTCCATGTTCATACCACTGTCTTTCTACTCCTCATGTGAGGCACCGAGTGAGGGCCTGTTCACACCCCACCTCCCAAGGGTCACTTACACTCCATCTAATGTTCATAAATTTAAAAGGAAACCTAGGATGATTAATGCATGGAATAGATCAGGTACTATGGAATTATAAGATATGGCACCTGGACTGGTACTTTTTTCCTTTCTTCTTCCTTTTGGTTAAAATTAGCCAACTTTTTCCCATTACATTTTATATCCTATAACATGACTAGCTGCTTGAACCACTAATTTTTTTTTGTAAAGTCAGCCCTCTGGTGTTTTTCTAGGAAAAGAGCACAGTAGCACTACCTAGTGAACAAAATCATAATAATTTTCTATCATCTTTAATTGTTTGACTAAAGTGCTTTTAGAAGCAGCTATCTTTAAAAAATGAAAGCGATCAAGTTGTTGAATTTAAAATAATTTCTACTTCAGAGAAATTAAACTTCATCCTAACACAAAATTATAAAACAATCAATTGCATTTTTTTCTTTCCTCAGTATATTCTACTGCTTAATGTATTTGCATTACAACTTTTATTTTCTCAAAGGCAGGTCAGGTGAACCCAACAATCAAATTATATGTTGTAAACTTATATGGACCAACTCATACTTTGGAACTCATGCCACCTGACAGCTTTAAATCAAGGTATGTAATTTCAATTTCACTTTTACCAGAGAATATATAGTTTAACACTATTACCATTTTGTTTCAGTTTGGAGAGCGATGTGATCACCTCAACAAATCCACTTGAAACTGGGCTGAGGTTGCCTCCATCAGTGCAGGAATGAAGTCATTCTGAGTCTTTGTTCCCAGGAAGCATTTACTATTTCAAGGTGATCAGCAGTACCACAAAATGATTAAATATGCTGATACTGAGGGTTAGGCCTTTTGAAGGATATGTGACAGAGAGAGGGGAACAAAGGAAACTTTTCTACTGATTTTTCTTCCTGAAAACAGCCCTTCCATTTTTTAATTGCCCTCTTTAAAAAGCAGTATAATTGCCCTAAAATTTGTGCAGTTTTTTCAACTTTCTACCCACAGCTTATCAATAATTTTCTAGCATTCTTTTGTAAGAAGATAAATATTATGAAGTTTTGTTTGTTAATATCCAACATAAAAGCCTTCTTATCTAGGAAATTTTAAGTGGAGGAAAAAAGAAACACATGTTATGTGTCAGAAGCATAATTTCAATATCAGCAAAATCTCCAATAATGAACAACTGACCAAATAGCCATGTGCATTTTGAAATCCAGAGTGGTCTCAAACTTCAATGATGATTCTTTCAAAAATGCAGCACTTTGAAAATTTAAAGCAACCCTAAAAATGGGATATGATAGGCAGCTGATATATAAGAAAATGGTTTCACACTATATTGAATGCCGTGGGGCTCAGCTCACAGTTTATTTTGATGGTATCAACAAACAAAGCAGAGCGACTGATGAAAAAAGAAATTGCACTCAAATGTTCTCGCATTGACATATTTGGAAAAATTTCATCACAGTTGGAGATTTTCACAGAGTGCAACCTGCTGTGTGGAAAATTTTCCCACTTTAAAGGTAATAAAATTTTATGGAATGCTTACACTGGAAGGCTTCTCATTAACTACCTAATATAATCTGCTCATTTTATTATTAGTGGAATAGATAAAATTCACAGAGAAAAAAATTCAGATAGACCTTCAGGATTAGTTTTTAGCAGAGTTAGAAAATGAGGTAAAACCTGCTTCATAAAGTTACAGAACACTGCATCCAGGTTGTAATGGGGACCTTAAAGGACCATCTGAATCAACATATACAATGCAGTAGGGTTGACCTAATTAGATAAAAACTGCTTCTGCACTCAGTCTACCAGATGTGAAAGATTTAAGTGCAAATGAAACAGTTAGAAAAATTATTGATTTTTTGTGATTCTGAACTCTTACTTTTGTCTCTGATTTGTCTGATATCCTGAATTAACAGAAAAGAGTAGTAGATTAGAGTGTTTGAATCACATCTCTATTACCATCTCATTATGTCACTTTGGGCAGTTCCCTCTATCTCTGGGTCTGACTACCCTAATCTTGAAAGGATAGTTCATAATTTTCATTATTTTTAGGTTTTTTCCATGGAGGTCAATTTTAATTTTAATATTAAAAAATATTTTTAGAGAGAGGGGAAAGGAAAGAGAGAGGAAGAAAAAGATCGATGTGTAGTTGCCTTTCATGTGCCCCCCACCAGGGACCTGGCCTGCAAACCAGGCATGTTTTCTGATTGGGAATCAAACTGGTGATGCTTTGGTTTGCAGGCCAGTGTTCAATTCATTGAGCTGCACCAACCAGGGTGGAGGTCAATTTTAAAATATCCACATTCCTTCTTAATAAGACGTAGTGATTCCTGACCTTCATTTGTTATGGGAAAATATTTTTAATGAGTTAATTAGGCTACAGTAGAGTATCATCAAACACAAACTTTTCTAAAAAATGAAACAAAACAATTGTCATATATTGGAGTGTTAGTTAAGTATACATATGTTTAATATTCAATGTACAATATGATAAAATTAGTCACCGACTGCAAAGAGATATCACATATCTTAGCTGTTGGAAGTCCAAAACACAGAATAATATACTGTATCCTACTGACAGGGAATGAAACTCATGTGAAGAAAAAGTTCTTAAATGCAATTCAGATACATAGGTTTAGCCACGATCTTGGTCTACAATTTGGAGAGAGTCATGTAATATCTACACAGTGTACATTACAGTTTTGTTTTTTACGCTTCTTGGTCTTAGATGAGTGCCAACTGTACCATATGAAATTCACCAAAGTGTGTGATTTACTCTTTTGTTTCCACAAATTAAGATAAAAATTTACTTCAAAACTGGTATTTTCAAGTGTTTCCCATGCTTCAGTTTTACAAAAATATTTTTATACTCATTTTTTTTTGGAAAAAAAGAAAAAAGGTAATTACTGAAATATATCTCATCTGCATTTAGCCACTGTGAGGCCAGTTATTATTTAATGGACCCACATATATGTACAGAAACATGAGAGAGAGAGAGAGAGAGATCCATAGTGTGAATAAAAGAAAGCTGTGTTCATCTTGATGCACATCAGATGGAATCTAAATTCTTATTTTCTTAATTTTGTTTTAGGAGTACCAATATTTCTAATATTCAATACTTAGTACTCTAGCCATAGAGAAATTTGGCTGAAAATTATCCCTTCCCTCATTATGCACTTAATATCTAAAAGAGCATATTATTTTTTTATAATTTATTGGTCAGGGTCCTGAAATTAAAAAAGTTAACACACTCAAGGGGTAATAAAGTGTAGTTAATTAAAGAATTATTAACAAAGATATGGCCCTGGCTGGTGTGGTTCAGTGGGTTGAGCACCAGACTGTGAACCAAAGAGTCACCAGTTTAATTCCCAGTCAGGGCACATGCCTGGGTTGCTGGCCAGGTCCTCAGTAGGGGGCATATGACGGGCAACCATACCTTGATGTCTCTCTCCCTCTCTTTCTCTCTCCCCCCTCACTAAAAATAAATAAATAAAATCTTAAAAAAACAAACAAAAATAAATATATGGCCATAATTAAAGATAAACTCACAAAAGACAAGAAAATATAGAGTCTGCAAGAGCAGAAAGCTATTATTGTCTCAGGGTTGTAGAAGTAAGGAACAGACCCACAAGAACACACATTGATCTTTCTGAATCTATGGGAGAAGTGTTCTTTCTCTGTTTATGTTTCTTTTTGTCTTGTCTCTCTGTCTTCCTCTGTCTCAGTCTGTCTGTGTGTGTGTGTGTATAAAAACAGAAATTGAATTGTATGTATATATACATATACATCTATGATTTATCTAGATAATACTTGTGCTTCTCCTGAAAACCTGCCATATTTTTTTCTCTAAAATGTTTTCATTTATTGATTTTTAGAGAATGTGGGAGAGACCTCAGTTTGTTGTCCATTTATTTATGCATTCGTTGTTTGCTTCTTATGTATGCCCTGACCAGAGATCAAAACCAAAACCTTGGTGTATTGGGATGATCCTACAACCAACACAGCTAGCTGGTCAGAGCCTGCCATATCTTTTTTATGTGCCTTGTGAATCATGAAACTGATTGGGTTTTAATTGTTTGCATTATTGTCTTTTGGACATAAAGTTTACTCATGGTAAAATTTGCTTGCCTCCATAACTTATTTCCTTCTACCTGTCTTCCTAATTTTCTTTACCCCATTATCCTTAATTTTTTCTAAACTAACTCAAATTCTTTATATTTTTGAAATTTTCAAATATATTTTGATACCAGTATATGAATAATATCCCCATATTTATTAGTGACTCCCATATTTATTAGTATTTCTATAAATCTTAAGCAATAGCAACTTATTTTATTAGTAATATACTTTCCCTATGCCCTTATAAAACTTCAAATGACCACTCTTCTTTTTGGAGTTTGTACTGTATTTACAACATAGCTACTAGTATCATTTGAGATGTTGCTCAAATTCAGAATAACAGAATACCTAAATAATTAATTCACCAAATAATAATTTACATGCTTATTTTTTGTGTTACCTGAGCATCTACTGTATTTTTATTTTATCTTCACATAACCTATAAAATGCCAACCAAAGAGTGAACTATATTCTATTACTCATTCTAGTTATAAACTTTTTGTTTTTAATTTTTTTACTAAAATTAAACTTCATATATACCTATCTCTATAGCTTTTTTTATTTCTAATAAAATCACCATGATGACAATAATAATAATTGAATATATATGTAGCTATATAAATAGGAACATTAGGAAGAAGACTATAGAAAGATATTCTCTTATGACTTCAGCTACTTTATAAACTGTACCCCTTGACCTCTATCTACCCCAAAGAACAAGGTTTGTTTTAATTTGAAGGTATTAGGTCATTTTTGTTTGATCTGTTGATAATTTGGTTAGTTGAATTACTTAGTTATAACAACTAATGTTTATAATTATGATAGAAAAAAAGTCCCCTTGTTATTCTTATGAAATTCCTGTGAAAATATTTTTATGATAATGAATAATGCAGATTTTTCTACAGGCCACACATTTGTCACTTTTCTTTTGGTGGGATAATTATTATTCTTTTTGTTCAGAAATCTGAAGTCTAAACTAAGTAATGGCAGTGGTTTGTTTTGGTTTCTCCTTACTTTGTGTCTTTAACATTATTTTACTTATTTAAAATTTTATTTTAGTCATCCAGCCTTTATGATTCATTGTTCTCAGCCTGTATGATTGATGTGACAGTATTATATTGCCCTGTCAGTCTGGTCTTAATAGTACTGTGCTTTCTCCATTTCTTTTTTAATTTTAATTTTAAAATTTTAATTTTAATTTTAATTTTATTACTGTTATTCAAGTACATTTGTTTTCATTTTCCCTCCTCCCCAGCCATCTCTACCTCCCAACCTCAATTCTATCCCTCTTTGGTTTTGTCCATGTGTTCTTTACAGATGTTCTTGAAAACACTTCCCCTTCCCCTGCATTATACTCTTCTACCTCCCCTCTGGTTACTGTCAGTTTGTTCTTAATGTTAATGTCTCTGGTTATGTTTTGCTTGCTTATTTGTTTTGTTGATTAGGTTCCATTTATAGGTGAGATCATATGTTTTTGTCTTTCA